TTCACTGTAAGCAACCAATATCCCAATCTCATTCTTCGCATCTTACTTTTTACGCTTCTCTTTAGGAATATAAACGGACGGATATATTTGATCCAAAAGGCTTCAAATAATTCGGATTAAACTTTCTTCTATTCCAGAGTTTTGAGGATGTTTTATTCTTTACAGGACACTTTCCTACTCGATTTAGCACATAAACGACTGTGTTGACGGCTTCTGCCCATAAGTTTTTATGTAAGTCCTTTGAGTGGAGCAATGTTCTTGCTGCTTCCACTATGGTACGATTTTCTCGCTCTACTCGACCATTTTGCTGAGGAGAGTGAATGCTTAATGCCTCGAGTCCATTGTCAGACCTCAAGACTTTAACTTTAATTCCTGTTTGATTCTCTGACATTTCCAAAAATTGAACTATATTGAACTTAGTTTCATCCTTGTGTTTCAGAAAATAAACTAATCTAAACCCAGAATAGTCATCTTTCATCAAGAGAAAGTACCTTGAACCTCCCAGAGACTCAATTTAGAAAGGACCGCATAAATCAGTGTGAATCAATTCATGGGTTCTACAAGCTCTACTAGTGCTATTTTGGAATGGTAACTTATGTTGCTTTCCAGAAAGACATGGTTTGCATACAACATTGTCATCTTCTGTAAATGTAATATGATGCTATTTCAATATTGATCTAACCTGTTGAAAACTTACATGAGCCATTTTATTATGCCATTCCAAAACACTTTCAAGTAAATTGGCAAAGCCTGTATCAGCATTTCTAAAAATCATTTTGAAAAGCTTACCTTGCCTTTTTCCTAGAGCTCTTACTTGTACTTCTGTGTTAACAATTTCACACTTGTCTCTGTCTGACTTCCTGATCAGGTCCTTATCTAGCTTTTTCCCAACTGAGAATAGGTTAATTTTTAATTGAGGAACATGTAGCAGAACGCGCTCAAGTACGCTATTTAATTGGTTAGATGGTAAATGACGAGCGGTATATTCATGGTGTTTATTTCCTTGAGCGGCTACCTATAAAATTCTGGGGGGGGGGTCTATTCGCAAAAGGGAGAAACAAACTATTGAGGTTTACTAAATTATATTTTATTATACTTAAAACCAAAATTAAAATATGTCTATGTCTGACAGCCACTTCTACTTTTCCCAAATCAATTTATTCCACATCCATTCAAATTTCATTACTACAAACCAAGAAATATTCATACTAAAAACGCCCTACTTCTTCTATTCTTAATAACTTATAAGTTTATAAATTTACTCTTTCAAACAACACTTCCGATTCACATTCCTATTAAAACTACCATTACCTATAGCTATAAATTCTTGAAACTCCTAAGTCATTTACTGGCAGCTTACGCAAAATAATTATTTAAGTCATAATCCTACTCAGCGGATTAAGTAATTGGTTGAAACCCTAAATTAAAATTTCAGCACTTATGGTCAACAAGTTACTTCATGAACAACAAGTTTCTTTTCACAACTTCCCATTACTTTTTAATGGTTCAAATCTTTTACTAAGGATCAACTTAAACAGAACAATACTATTTTCGAATTCCTAGCCAACATACACAATTATTTAAATTCCTATCAGTTAGTTACTATAGCCCTTAAACTTCAATTGGACAATCCAATTCTACATTCTTTAATAATTGCTACTCAAAATCGAATATTGTTAAGAGTATTATAGTTTTCCTTTGTTAATTCTTTGCAAAATTAATTAAAATGTCAATATACTCGAAGGCAATTAAACTTATGCAATAAAGTTTTTACAGTCAAATCACTCAAGTTTCATGCATTAAAGTTCAATGTTAATTTACTTCTTATCATTCATCATTTATAAAGTAAAAAAGTTTTACTAGTCACTAGAGTAGGTATCTACTTACATTTAACTTTTCACTCGTAAAATTACTTAATAAATTCAGTTCAAAAATCTCTAGAGCTCGCACATAATGTTGAACGAATTTAAATGTTCTTTCTTTCACAATTTTCCCTTACTTTTTCAAAGATCAATCAAACGCGTTTTCCCGAGGCAAAAATAAAAGAAACTCTTCGGGAATTTTATCCGGACTGACTAATTAGGAACTGTAGATTTAACTCAAACTGGACTGAATTGACAACTGATCCTCCACTTCTAAAACCGCTGTATTTATATTATTTGATCCCCCCAAAATTCCTATCCCTCATTCATTAACCTTCCTTTTCTATTTGTTAAAAATCGAATAATGGGCTCTTTCACTAAAATTTAAATACGTAATTTAAGTATAAAATCTCAAAGGAGGGACTATTTTAGGCATATATACCAAAAAAAAAATGTTCTACAAGGTTCAATAAGTTTTTCATAGGCAATCAAAAGTGCCTAAATTCAAACTATTTTAAAACGCGCCGATTTGCCGACGTCACATAAATATTCTTCATTTCGCTTATGTCGTTGCAAGGAGGAAGGGCTCGGCTGTGTTTGCGCTCTGTAAAGATACGTAAAGGTTCGAATGCGCTGTTGTCGGTTGTGACTAAATGTAGTGCAGCGTAAAATAAATAAATAAAACTAAACATAAAAAATTGCATTAAATTGTATTTAAGCATAATTTAAAAAAAAAAATGTTATAAAATCTTGAATCTATAACTAATTAATTTAACTACTTTTCATGAGATTTTGCCAACATTTCAGAATTAAATCTATTACAAATTTTCAATGTTGACAATTAGTGGCAACAGGGTCAAATTGCGAGCTGCGACGTCATAGAAATAAATTCTGGGTTTTTATTTGGAGGTATTTCTTTGTTTTCTGTTTTCTCAAGAAGGACTTTGAATTTTTCAAAAGTAAAAATACAGAAAATTCTGTTTTTAGTTGCTTTATCCAAATATGCCAATTTCAAAAATTAGTGAAAGAGCCCATTATGTCGCAATTTCCTGGTTTATCGGGGTCAGCAGATTTGGTTTAAGAATGTGAGGACATCTAGATCACAATACGTGCGGCCATAAATCACCTATTTAATTATTTGATTAGATTTAATTTTCACAGTAAAGACATTGTAAATTACGGGTCTATTTTCCCGGGTCATTACAAACATATAACACTTCGTTTATTTCTGTGGGTATCCAACTTTTACCATTCCAAGCTTCTAATTTAATTTTCCCAACACCTTTCACCTCTAGGTAACAGCCATCTCCAATCTTCACTCTTCTGCCTTGGATCATCTCCATAGATTCAAACTGGTTTTTATCATAACTCATGTGATCGCTGGCTCTGCTATCCAAGCACCGATCTGTTGACTCTATTTTGGCATCTTTAATCAATCATAATGCCTCTGGAGTCTTAATTAAAACAAATCTCAATGATTCAAATACACCCATAAAAGCATATGACATGCCACCCTGTGAATTACCATTGCCTCCACCATTTCCTTGATCACTCCTATTTCTAAACCAGCAGTCTGCTTTAGATGCCCTTGTTTATGACAATAATGACACTTTAGTCTATTTTTCCTGTCATCTTCTCTGGGCTTATTACGAGGGCAATTTTTTTTAAAATGACCTGACTTTTTGCAAAAAAAACATTTTGGACCATCTTGTCCTTGCCGAGGGGTGTTTCACTCATGCAGTAGGTGTACAAATATCATACATTCATGTATATGCAGTCCATACATTCTCGTGCAGTCAATGGAATACATGGACTCATGCAGTCATAATGCAGTCGCATGCAGTCATAATACAGTCCCTTGCAATCGTTATAAATTCCGTGCAGTCACATGCAGTAGCGTACATTCCATATTCACTGGCGAAAAATCGTAAACAGTCGCTGCGAGTGGAGCCTGCAATCTTGTTAGACGTTGCTCAAAAGTCAATGCAGTCAACTATCATCTTTGATGCAATCAATGCAGTCAAATACAGTAGGTGTACAAAATTTAGTTGGTGAAACACCCCTTGGTCCTTGCCCCTTGAACTTGGAAAATAAAGCATCTGCATGAGGCTCTTGCTTAAACCTTTCTTCTTGAATCATGAGCCTGGATGTTGATTCAGTCAAATTTTGGTTAGTGGTAGATTCCCATGCTGATGTAAAATGGTTCAAGTTTTCAGGCAGAGACATAAGCACTTTGATTATCAACATTTTCTCACTTAAATTTTCACCCAAAAGCTTCAATTGGCCCCTTATGTCCTCTAATTGTGGTATAAAGTCGGCCACACTACAATTTTTATACTCAAGACTTGAGCTTCCCCCACATTTTAGCTACTGTATTGCAAGAAAGAACATGATTTACAATTACAATTTTATCTTCCAGCCACTATAATCTCTTGTGTTTTTGCATCCTTTTTGTCCTTGACTTTATTGTTGGCCTAGCAGATTCCCCTGTGACTATTGTAAACAAGCCTTTGGATTTCAACGCTATCTGAATCTGGAATTTCCAGCTAATCCAGTTGTCTCCTGCTAATTTAGTTATTTTTGCTGCTCCTGATGATGCCACCACTATTAATTTATTGTTCCTATACTGTCCCCTTGTAAGCCGGGTATTCAAATTTCGAACTAACTTTTCCCTATACCGGGTATATTTTACTGTCCCAAAACCGGGTACTTCGCACCAACAACTAACGACGCGACTAACTATCGCTTTACCGTCCGTTACTTCTACTATCGATATTACAGAACCGTATCGATTTATCCGCCCGTACCTAATTTCGCCGACCCATAATCTCTTAATTAAAATCCGATTTTAAACACGATTTTTCCGATTTGAAAGTCAGTCGGGCCCATCACCTGTTACGCAGTGGGAAATTGGGTCAATAAACAAACACTTTAGATACAAAAAATAATAACTTGTATTAATTAGAGAAAACGAAAAATACAATAGACGGACGTACTAAAAAACACAAGGGTACTCTGTCACGATCAGCTGACCGACTACTATGACATTGCGGTGTTGCCAACAACTTCAACTAAAGAAATATTCTTATTGGCTATTTTAACAAGTTGCTATGAGATGATAATACTTAGTTATTACAGGGGCCAATCCAACATTGAGAGACAACGGCCGAGGTTTCAGAGCGGACCAATGGGCACGTTTTTGCGGTCGCTACGTTTGCGCCGACGTTATAGAAAAACACGCCAGGCAAAGGCTTCTGGAACGTTCCACGTCGTACGGCAGCTGGGGAATGGAGCAGGACAACAGGGCCGTGATGGCGGGAAAAGTTGTACAAGTACCGCCTGTCAGTTCGCCACCACCTAATGGTAAATAGAATTCGATGAGTAGTTTCAATAAAGACTCAGTCATTTTCTTCTAGGACTAAAATCTAGATTGAAAAAAGTATTTCGTACGTCTTCCGGACCATCATCGGACACTTTTTCCAGTGCCCGATTGGTCACCCAATTGACATCGGCCGCTCTTTGCGCCAGCAGTCCCGTACTTCCCGGCAACGGTTCGGTACCGCCAATGGTAAAGTCCCTGTTGAGACCTTTGACAGTGCCCAGATTGCAGATCACTTTGGTTAACAATAACGGCGATTATCCCAATAACAATTTGGAGTCTGGCTGTTCCGAGAAGAGGATGGAGAATGGTAAAGGGGCGATGAGTAATGGTACTGCTAACGGGAAAAATGAGGTTATTAAACTGGCAAGATGTAAAAAGAAAAAATAGAATGATTGTATTATCACATCACACTCATATAATTTATTAAATATATAAAATAACCTTTGGGCACATCTATAAAGAGACTGTTTATGATTAAATATTTATATTTTTTAGATTATTTAAGTTGACATTATGCAATTTGTAGTATAACATTTTGGTGCTATACATTGTTAAAATTATAGTCTTTACTATTGTTTCATCTTTACTGAACCTTGCATTTTGTCGGAGAAATTTGTACAGTAGATAGTTTACATATTTTGACTTTTGAGAGGGCTCTATTTATCTGTATAATAAGAATATTAAACAATTTGTTGCAAAGAGAAATAATATACAACCTAATCGTTTATATTCAATATCAATTACCTATTTATTAGAATAAAATAAAGATTACCTATTGACGAACACAATAACCAAAGGCTTTTTTATTGATCTTTAAAGTTCGTTCGCCAAGCTATACGGATTTTGGTTTGATAGAAGGCATTTGGAAATGGGAATATGATGATTTTTTGAAAGAATGTTACATAAGATTTGGAAAGTACAACTAAACCAAGCTTGTATCTTGACTTGTGCATCGGAAGCATTAGGCAAAATTTTGCATCAAACAGTAGGAGTTTGAAGAGGAACATCCAGGCAATACATTTTCTAATGCAAATACTATATATAGGTATAACATCGGTTTATAACGTTCTACCTCTTCCGATTACCGATCTCCAACCATCTCTGTCAATGCAGGCATCCTCCTCCAAGCCTCTGTCTCTGGTTTCTTCGTCCAATCCACTTCTCCAGCTTCTTCTTGGTCTGACGCGTCTTCTTCCTCCCTCTGGCTTCCACTCAATAATTTGCTTGGGTATTCTTGCATCTGCCATTCTTCGTACATGTCCGAACCAAATAAGATGTTTGTCCTTTATATTATCTACTATTGTGTGTTTTACGTTCATAATCTCCCTAATTCTCAGATTTGTTATCCTTTTCATTTTTGACCTGCCTGCCGATCTCCTCCAAAAGTCTATTTCAGTTGCTTCCAGCATTTTTGCGGTTCTGTTCTTTAGTAACCAGACTTCTGAACAATATGTGAAAATAAGTTCTAGAGGCAAATCGTGTTAGTTTTGAGGTGAAGGTATTTCTTAGGTAATTTGACCCCGCAGAATCCAAAAATGCCTGTTACTAATTCGAAATCGCGACCGGAAGTGAGATATTCAAGATGGCGGTCAGAAACCTGAAATTAATTTCGCCTTCTAATACCTATGAACGTGTTTAGGACGTCAAATTATGTTTTTTATGGCAAGTTTATAAAAAAAAATTAACACTTAAACTAAGAATTAACATTTAAATTAAATAGTTGAAGTTATGATGTGATGTAGCGGTTCATAAAAAAATTTAAGACTTATCAACTAAGAATTAAGAATTACATAAGCGCACGTTGAAATTCTTAGTTCTAAGTTAATTTTCTTGAATTACCACCATGTTGTGCATAGTTGATTTTAAACCCTGTTTTTGCAGCGGCGGTTGTAATCATCATAATTATGGCTCCTAGGAAAAACAATACATATGATTTTGCTGATGTTGATGCTACGTTCCGTAGTCGGTCTGATCTCCGTACCTCTGATGAGTGGTTTTGGGTGGTTGGTAAATGGTGTATGTCTTGTGTCAGTAATGGGATTAACTTGTGGATCGGTCTTTTTTGTGGTGAGCCACCAGCTTTCTTTATTGTTACCACTCGGATTGCTCCATCTTGTCCCTGGTGAGTTTCTATAATTCTCCCCAAAGGCCATTGGTCTGGATTTATATTTTCTTCTTTTATTAGGACCATTGTTCCTACTCGTAGATTGTTGGTCTGATTCTTTGCTGCAGTCTGGTGAGGTATTCTGTGCACCATGCGTTCCAAATGTTTTTCTTTAACTTTTGCACGTGTTTCCATCGTTGAGATAGGTTAAAATGTTCTGTCGATTCCAAGTTGGCTAGAAGTTCTTTTCCTATGAGAAAGTGTCCTGGGGTCAAGATGTTGAAATCATCTGTGTCTTCTGTTAGCGGGTAGAGTGGTCTTGAGTTCAAACATGCTTCGATTTGATGCACCAACGTTGTTACTTCTTCATTGGTCAAAGTGCAGTCTCCAATAACTCTCTTGAGATGGTGCTTCATAGATTTTACACCTGCCTCCCATAGTCCTCCGAAATGTGGGGCTGCTGGTGGAATGAAGTGCCATTGAGTTCCTAAGTTGACAGATTGTGATTGTATCAATTTTGTGATCTCATCTTCGAATAGGCGTGCTGCTCCAACAAATGTAGTTCCGTTATCACTGTACATCTTCGCACAATGTACCCTTCTGGCTGTGAAACGTCGAAGTGCTGCTAAGAATGCCTCTGTTGTCATGTCACTGACTACTTCTAGGTGGATGGATTTGGTTGCTAGGCATACGAATACTGCGATGTACCCTTTGTACGATTTGTGACCTCTTCCTTTTGTTGCTCTGACTTGAATCGGTTCAGCGTAGTCCACTCCTGAGTTTGTAAATGGTGGTGCTGGTGTTACTCTCGATTTCGGAAGTTGCTGTGCGGTCTCGGCTTTGTGACGGGTGTATACAAAGCACTTATTTGCCCGCTTACCATAGATGATCCAGAATCTGCTTCGTATGTACGACAATGTCACTTGGTTGCCTCCTGTAGCGTGGTCTTGTGTGCGTTTCTCACCACCAACGTAGATATGTGAGAATGGTATGGAAGAATCATCGGCTTTCGTTGGTCGAAGGGCAGAGGTGAGTGTTCGAGTCTTCCTCCGACTCGTATTATGCTCTTGCTGTTGAGAGATGGGTTGAGGGTCTGTAGCTGGCTTTTTTTGTCGACTGCGTTCTGCTGTTGTAAAGACTTGTATTCTTCGGAAAATTCTTGTTGTTGGACTATTTTTATGATTCTTTCGAAAGTGCCTTGAACTTCTTGAACAGATAGAGTAAGACTTTCCCCTTTTTTGATGAATCGACGGCAGTAGGATAACTTCAATTTTGTGACATGTGGCTTTTACTTCTTCTTGAACGTCGGGAATGTTGTCTGTTGTTGGGATTTCACGGAGAAACGTCAGCCAATGAGGACCTTTCTACCACAGATCAGCTGATTGCAGTTTGTCTGGGTCCAATTCCCTTGATATGATATCTGCTGTGTTTTCTTGGGGCTTGACATGGTTCCAGGATGCTTGAGGGGTGTTTCTGTGTATTTTGCAAATTCTATTTGCCACGAAGGTTTTCCATCTTATAGAGACGCGAAGGTCTGGGTGTCACCCATTTGAAGTGATGTCTTAGTTTTTTGAATTAATTTTGATAGTAGGACTGCTGCACAGAGTTCCAAGCGAGGTAGGGTTGTTCTGTTTTTTGCTGGAGCAACTTTTGATTTTGCTTGCACAGCGTTATAATTTGCTTATCTTCTTCTCCTATCCGACTGTAGATCACTGCACCATAGGCCTTTTCTGATGCATCGCAAAAGCCGTGGAGTTAAATTTACCTCAGAATCTTGATTTTTTCTACTTCTTTTATTTTGCTCTGAAACTGTATCCATCTTGAAGATATTTTTTGATCTACAGGCCCATCTCAGCTCAGGTTTCTTAGCCATAGGTCTTGAATGATGAGTTTAGCTTGTATTACGATTGAAGACAACCATCCTAAGGGGTTGAATAACTTGGATATTTCTGACAAAATTTGTCGTTTTGTTAATTCGCGTATCTCGGAGACTTTGACTTGGAATTTGAAGGTACCTATCGTCTGTTGGTGACCATAGTACGCCCAGAGATTTCTTGAAGTCTTTCTGAGGTAGTTCTTGTATTTTCTGTTCTCGGAACTGTTCTGGAATTGATTGGAGTAATGCCGGTGAGTTGCTAGACCATTTTCTCAGGTTGAACCAGCAAGGCTAAGCATTTTTAGTAGTTGGTTTTGTACTTTTAGGGCTGATTCTGTATCTGCTGCTGCAGAATATGTCATCGACGTAGAAGTCTCTTAATGCTGCTTGGCTTGCTGCCAGAAAATTGTCTGATTCTTCGATTGCAAGCTTCTGTAGTGTCTTGATGGCGAGATATGGTACTGAGGCTGTACCGTAGGTTACAGTGGTCAGTTCGTATTTATACTTTGGTTGCTGTGGATGTTCCCTCCATAATATTATCTGGAATTGTTGATCGTGTGGATGAATTAGGATCTGCCTGAGCATTTTCTCTATGTCTGCGTAGAACACAATCTCATGCTTTCTCAAACGCTGCAGTATGTTGGCGATGTTTTGTTGCAGTCTTAGGCCGACGTGCATGATGTCATTGAGGCTGATGTTGGTAGAGCTTTTGCACGATTCGTCGAAAACGACTCTTAGTTGTTGTGCTGGCTTCTCTGATGACTGCTTGATGAAGGATGTAATATTTCCCTTGATTCACTTCATATAGCAAGCTGACCGTGATATTGAATAAAATATAAATATACGAAGTCGATCAAATTATGCCAACGAAGGTTAATCACTGTTTGATTGTTCTAATTAAACAATGAATGAAGTATAACAAGGATGACAAATGAAAAATGATAAACCTCCTACAAACATAGATAAAAATCCCGAGTCCCAAAATTCCAATTATCCACTCTGTTATGCTATTCCTCTGTTGTATATGTTTAAGCTTATCTATACAAACACCAAACGGAGTAAGAAAAGTTAAAAAGTGAAAAGTTTGTGTTCGGAACATGGTCCTGAGCCAGACGGCTTTCTGAACTCGATCAAATGTACTGGAAAATTGCCTTCTTAGACTGCGTCTTCTTCGGCTTTCGCCTCTTATCGAGGAATCAAACTAAAATAATCGAGTAAATCCGGCTCGAAGGACCAAATGTTTATCTTCAAATCGATACTGGTCCAATAGATTTTGTTTTATATATTGGTTTTACCAGATTGGAAGAGAAATAATGAGAGGACGACTTAAATTGAAGAATAGATTCTTTTAAATTTTGACAAACTTTTTACTTTCTGACGAATCAATGATTGATTGGTATATGCCACCAACCTGCGGGTAGTGGCCAACGCATTCTATAATAAAAATCTTAAACATAAATAAGAAATCCATAACAGACGCCGCCAGAGAGTCAGAATTTTCAATAGACGTTCAATATGTATTTCATATACCTAAATATTAAATTATTTGTTCTGTTAAAATTTGAAGTTTAGTACCTAATATTTTTGAATTTGGGAGTTCAGGTATTTTAAATATCAAATTTCTAAAGGTAAAAAAAAGTAAGTTCACTTTATACTTAAGGTCCGTAGATTTTAATCTGATACTCCAAAGGAATGTGAACTAGTGGCTCCCTACATTAGAACGCCAATGGTCACCTGACGTCACATCTGTTTTTTCCATAAGCTTCACCCCCTCGCTCCTCATACGGAAAGTGTCAGATTAAATACGATGAACAGTAATATACCTACTTAAAAAATTGGCTATATTAGCCTGTGCAGTGATACCACTTGCTCTAAAAATCTGAATAAATGAAAAGAACAAAAACACTCCGACTCTATTATTTTGCAATAATGACTCTCTGAAGTAATTTTTTCCTACTACTAACGTCAATTTACGCCCCCAACCTTCAATCATTCACATCAAGTTGAGGTTCAAATTTCCTGTAAGATGCCTCTTAAAACAACGCAATTTGTAGTTTCAAATTTTCCTGCGCATTTACGTCTGCTTCCTGGAAAGTCGGGAAAGTTTCTGCTGCATTGCGTTTGTAAACAAGAGAGCGCAGTGGTAGTAGTGTGGAAAACCCATATATAGGCACTATGTTGGTAGGTTTTTCCTCAGTTTTCAGCTTGAAAGGCTTCATAAACATGCACAAGCGCGAAAATTCTATATATAATGGCACATATTTACGTAAATTTTCACCTTTTTAGTATTTGTTCTTTGCATTCATAAACTGATTTTTTTCATCAAAGTTAACACCTAATAATTGAAATTCATTAAACCATTAAATTAAATTTTATCCTCAATATCACTTAGTAAGGTTTTTGCCTAACACATCAATCTGTTTGAGTACACAATATGCAAAAATTTATGATAGCCATATAAACCAGAGATAATGACATAATAAATACGTAATAATTCGACTTCCCCTTATAATCCATCTGCATACTCTGGGTATCTGATAAAATTTAGTAATCCCCTAAAGGATTATCATGATTTCGATTTGATTTGCCTTTTAATGTAGAAATAAAATGCGAAATTGCTATTTATATAGTAGTTCATATGTTGTTGTTTTTACCTTGAAACTTATTGTACTTATAGTAGGTAGCATAATAATTGTCGCTATATGAATAGTATGTGCCTAAAATTACTAAAATTTTTCTTTTTTTTCGATATTTGCCCTAGATCCTCCAGGTTTTCTAACCTTCTTGGTATTTCAAGATGCATTAGGTTAAAGAAGTCTAAGGATTCAGATCCGGTAATCTGGGTAGGCGAGACCTCTCCTAATAAGCCAAATATTATTATCCTTTATGTTGTTTGGAAATAAAGGAGTAGAAGATTCTTTCCTTAAAGAATGTATATACAAGACCATTTGATTCGCTAAACAAATTCTTCTTGCATTACTAATCTGTTTCGAATTATGGCTTCATTTTTTGCACTGCAGTTCGAAACAAATCCACTGTTCAGATGACTTGATCTTCAAAAAGTTGTAAGAAGTCAGAAGATATGAATGTATCAATAATTTTCAAAGTAAAGCAACTAGAAATAGAATTTTCTGCACCCTTACATTTGAAAAATTCAGAGTTCTTGTTGAGAAAATAAATAAAAATGAAGACTTTCCTAATTAAAACACATCATTTATCCACACGACGTCACAACTTGAATTTTGACAGTGTTGCCACTTATTATCGACACTGAAAATTTGTAATATATTTAATTCTAAAATGTTGGCAAAATCCCAAGCAAAATAGTTAAATATAATTACTTAGGGATTCAAGAGTTCAGAACATTTTTTCTTGAATTATTATCCTGTACAATTTACTTGAATTAATTTTTTGTAATCAGTTTTAATTGTTTTTCTCACGACGCACTACATTTAGTCATAATTAGCAACAGCTCTATCAAAGCTTAAGGCCAGCGGCCATCGGAACAGCTGTTCGTGCTTTGTTGATGGATCATGGAGTCTTCTTAAAGTTGATTGGTAGAAGATGCTCATATCCCTTATACGTCATCGTTTGGAGCGTTTAGGATTTTGAATATTTCCACTTCTGAAGTGCCTGTAGAAACCTCATTTAAACTCGTAGATAATTTTTTTCGGCAAATATATCCAAAATAGTTCCTTATTCTAGTCTTATTCCAGAATTTTACTTTTTGGAACTTTTCAGAAAAGTATTCAAAGTTGTAAGTGAGTGCAAATTACCCTAACTTTCTTCATTCCAGAAGTTTCAAAACTTCCATTTGCACTCAGGGTGCATTGATTTTGAAAATTTGTGTAGCTTTCCACTGAATTAATTTGAAATTTTAGTTCAATAAGGTTAGAACCGTCCTCTTTATACCTACCTCAAAACTTTCTACTCAATAGTTTTTCAGTAACTCAATGTGTATGTTTTCCGTCAGTAATCCTCTGCATACTTGCGTCAAACTATTTTAAATCAAAATTAATCCGTATACATACAACTAAAAGTCAATCGTTTGGGATTTACAGGGGATTAATCCTGATTTTATAAATATTCGGGATCGATTAAAATCGTTTCTCATTTAGTTTTGTGACTTCTACTAGATAAAATTTCGATGTGATTAATCCTGCACAAGTGATTTTCTCGTTTAATTGAACTCAAATTAGGGAAAAAATAGTGTGCAACATCCATCAGCCAGAGTTTTTAAAGGTAAATATTATGCCATTTTGATAAAACGTACGTAAATATGTATTATATTGTATTATTATAATCATTTATTTTTGCTTTCACTGAGAATTTTATGGTGGTTTCATTTAAATTAACCACAATAAAAATATTATTTGATAATAGATTCAACCAGTCAGTTTGCATAACAGTGGTGCCTATTCCAAATTTTTCGTCCATAGTCCTTTTTTTCACCATACATTTTGTAAGTAGTTCCTATATTCTGTTTTGTTGTTGTTTCCTGGATGTCGCCTTGTGACCTTTCCTGATATCTTCCAACATTGCTCTTTATTGCCATCCATACTATGAGTTTCTTGATCCATTATTGCTGTTCTGCTTAGAAAATCTGCTACTCTGATTCTTCTTCTGATCTGTTCATATCTCTGAAATCAACTGCGAGCATGAACCTTTTCTTAACTTCGTTTCGACACTATGGTCTAGGTCTTGTGACAACGATTAACGATTCATCGCAAACTTTTCGCTTCATTAAAGTTGTTTTACTCAAGTTCATTTGTGATTTATGTCGATGTTTGATGGAGTTCTGGAACTGGATTTGGTGGAGCGGCCGAGTCACGGCACTCAGGCCCCCTGTGCGACCTTCCGATCCTGTCATTCCTTTAGGCCATCGTTCAGCCTAATGTTGTGAAGAAGGTGGAGATGTATTCTGAAGGGGCTTCCATCAGAAAGGCCATATCAGGCCTGCGCTCTCCTAGAATGGATTCCCTTAGGTCCGAGACGGCATCGCAATGACAAAGCAGATGATTCACTGTTTCGTCCTCCTGTTCGCAACCCCTGCACAGAGGTGACTCGCTTAATCCCATTAAATTGGGATGTTCTCTTAGCTGGCAGTGGCCTATCAGAAACCCTGTGGTGAAAGTTTTTCCTTGAAGTAGGTAGGTTCTTGCTGCAACTTCATTAAATGAGCTGACCAGCTTCCTAGCTAGTTGAAAGGAAGTAGTCTCATCCCATCTAGAAGTGAAGTCAGATTAGCAAAAGCCAGATCGGTGATCTTATGGTACTGAGAAGTGAGAACGTCCATTCTTCGAGCGTTGTCATAAGCTTCGTAGAGCTCATGGTTGTATCTCCTCCTCTAAATTCCATCTTCTTGCATACCCTTAAAGATAGTTCGTAAAATTTTTCTCTCAAAGGTGAGCAGGAGATAAGCGTTCCAGAGAGATAGTCTGATACACAAGCAGCAAGATTGAAATGAAAATTTGCTAAGCAACCTTGAGACAGAAAGAAATACGGTAGATAACAAAACAAAGAAAACTGTAAATGATGAAATCATTCGCAATAAACAGACCACAAATACGATGCTCTGATGATTTGAAAAATCACGAGCAGATTGATAGTCTTAGAGCACAATATCGCTTGGAAACTGATGGAGCCAGAGAGTAGCTTTAATTAATGGAAGGCTGCATAAAAAGGGAAAACATATTTAGTTCACACTTCACTAATGATATGCTTGAATTGGAGGCACGAGGAACGTTTGGTTGGTTGAAACCAGGGTGGATGAGATTGCCACTCTGAATAAGTGAATAACTTAGAAAGATCAAGCAGATCACCTTGTTTATTTTTTTTCTTCTACTCCGCAGTTGTGTTGCCAGTTGCCTAACCTCAACATCAACTAACGGTCATGTCACATAGCAACACAATTATATAATTACAATATCTTACATCCTTTATCTTAAAGATCAAGTCTCTTTGGTTTTTCAACCATGCGTTCTGATCTAGTGGTCATATTAGGTGTTAGATTAGATTAGATTAGATTGTGTTAGGGGCGTTTAGGTGATGGACCTCTCTGCACTGCGACCTGAATAGATCTATTGTGCTTCCCCTTTTTCTAGTAGGCTCCCAGGTTGAGACTTTTCGCGAATCTCACGATTTTTCCGGGATTGGTTCGCTTAACATCCGCAGCAGTCAAATGTTTCTGCTCCAGATGAATGAGTCTTCTGTGACATAATGCTTCGCATTTGCAGAGTATATGTTCGGCAGATTCGAACGCTTCTTTGCAGAAGCGGCAAAGGTCTGATTCAGCTCATCTTTTTCAGGTGGTAGCCAAGAGGGCAGTGGCCGGTGAGGAGACCCGTTATGAGCCTCAAGTCTGGTTTGCTGAAATCGAGTAGTTCCTTTGGCTTTGTTGACTTTGGCGAGATGAATTGCTTCGCCTGTTTAAGTCCTGGAATATTGTTCCAATGGGAGACCTTTTGTGCTTCTACCCATTTTTTGAGTTCAGTCCTTACATGGGTTTTTGTCAGGCCAAAGAAGGGTTCTGGACCGAGGAATGGTGACGCGGCGCCTTCTCTTGCAAGCCGGTCCGCTATTTCATTTCCTTCTATGTTTTGGTGCCCTGGTACCCATGCTAGAGTGACCCTATCGTAGTTCGCCAGTTGCTGACAGTGCCAAACTAGTCTGGATTTAGTGACAAAGCTATTAAGAGCCTTAAGTGCAGCCTGACTGTCAGAATTGATGAAAATTCTTGCACCTCGTAGGTCTATTTCAAGACACTTTCTGATGCAGAGTTCTATTGCGTACGTTTCCGCTTGGAATATGGTGGGGTTTTTTCCTAAGGCTACCGATAGCCTGAGTTTGGGACATATACGCCCACTCCAACCCCTTCGAACCATCTATGTACCAGATGGATGAACCGTTTGGGAATTTATGTACGATCTTGTCACTTTTGCGGCCTTCTGCGGTCACACTAAGAAGGTGATTAAATTCGTATCTGCGTGGCATGATGTCCACCGGTTTTGTTGATGTACCATGGCATTCTTTAATAATCCTCATATGTCCAACAAGGTCCCCTTCCTTTAGGTTTAGAGACCGTATAACCCTTGAGGCCCCTATGTGGGCCCTCCAAATCACTGCAATGTGCAGAGGGATGATATCTAACATGACCTCTTCAGCAACGGTTGGACAGGTATTCATGGCACCTGTTATTCCAAGACTTGCATACCTTTGTACAACTGTCAATCGGTTTTGCCCTGTCTGCTGCTTTACTTTTGGCCACCACACCAATGCAGCATATGTGACCAGGGGTCTTATAACCATCGTATATAACCAATAGATCATTTTTGGCTTTAGGCCCCATGTTTTACTGAATAGTCTTCGGCATGTCCAGTACGCTGCTGTGAGCTTCATATTAGGTGTTGGAATACAATCTAAACCAGAGGTATCAACATCGTGACTCATTGATTGTGAGAAATTTGCAGCACCATTGTCAGAAGAACAATACCTCAATTGATCATCTCTTGTAGTGTCACTATCAATACTAGCTTTGTCACCAACAGTATCAAGTTGAGATTGATCAGTGACCCTAAGAGCTCTGCGAAGGAATTAGGTTAACCCTGTTCCTTCTTACAATGCTTCCGCTAGATTCCTGAACTTGATAGGATCAGGATCTTGGGGGCTCATCTTTTTGTATAACTCTACCAGGCTTCCAAGTTTTTGTTACATGGTCAAAAATAATAACATTGGCGTTATCACTCAATGGTTTTAAATCTTTTGTACCATATCTCTCACAATATGTCTTTTGGCTGTCACGCTTTAACTGCATTTTTAGTAAAACATTTTCACAAATTCATGGATTAAGCAGTTCAGACTGGAATTAAAGTTTTTATCATTCTGTTAATTGATAACTGGGATGGTGAATAACCCATTCCTTTGAGAGGAGCATTTCTATAGTTAGAAAGATTTTTTCAGGTAATGACCAACGTGTATACAGCAGAGACATGAGTATGAAATGGACTGCGTGTTCCGTATAGTTGCCTTACGCGGCAGTGATGGAAAGATGGTTAGGCAACCAGTCTTTCGCATTGTGGGCAAGAAGCTACACAAGCGCATTACCCACAACGAGAAATAACACATAATTTCATTTAAAGGTGACATATAATTGGTTATCCATAGTGTATCATTAAAAACTAAATACCAGACGTGCTTAAATGTATGTGTTTTGTGCAGACCTGTGAGGCAAAAAAATAAAACAACACTTAAACGTTAGATAAAAAAACTTGTTATTCCTAAACAATTCTTGGGCAAATTCAAAAGCACAAAATACTAGATTGTAAGGTACAAATACTTATATGTGAACTTAAATTTAGGATTAAGATGCAAAACTGATTTTAATTCTACTGGTTCCTAAAAATTACAAGTTTTGTATACATTTGCCTAACTCTATCAGTGATTCGACTTGGTTCCTTATTCTGATAATGGATTCTAACGAGAAAATAAACACGTAAAATTGCGTTGATCAGCTGAAGTAAATGATTATTAATAGGATCTTGGTCCAATATATGATCACCAAGCTCCTTAAAATAATTGTGAATGTTCATGTCACTCATGGTCCATATTATAATTTTTTTGAGTGTAGTATTTGGAGTGTAATGAGTACGAAATTTTTTTTCGGCTAAACTGCACAGTTTTATTACATCTTCCCCCAAGATCTTTTCTATTTAGTAAAAGTGATGACGACTCATCAGAAAACAAAAAATTACAACAAATCGCGTATCTAACACTAACGTATAACAAGTGCGCGCGGATATCTGCCCCTAATGTGCAGTTAGGGTTGCCTACCATGTTTACATCACTGTTCGTGCCGTACGACCAGTCTATTTCATACTCATGTCTCTGGTATACAGTGACACAGCGCTCCTTGTTTGGGAATCGACCCACTGAGCAGTGGACCCAGACTTCCCGTGCCAATCCTTGACGCGTTTCGTCCTTGTTAGGACTCATCAGAAGGACATAGGCTGAAGCTCCCTGTCCAAGCAAAATTGAACTTCGTTGACCAGTCAGAAACATTTACTCCGAGGGCAAATACCCCTACCGGCGTTGAACTACACTGATTGGTCTGAGCTTTCGTTGGCAATGAAAGGGGTATTTGCCCTCGGAGTAGTTGTTTCTGACTGGTCAACGAAGTTCAGCATGTCTATAGTTTAACGTAGCTAACTCTAGATCTTCTCCTTGTTCTAAGGATTTTTTTAACA